TTTTTACTTTTCTTGTTTCATTGTATGTAATGGCAGAGATTAGGGATTTATAAAATACAACCATAACCACAATCATATACACAGAAATCTATTTTATAGCAATATATTGGGGTGGGGACATTTTGAGTATATTTGAATATTGAGGGTGGGATGTGTCCCCTCCAATACATATTATAAATACGGACTTGTTACACTCCATGTTCAATTACAAAATCAAGACGTTCACCATTCTCCTCTGCCCGTGGCTGTCTGACTGCATTTCTCTACAAAATAAATGTACCCACTGTTCACTCTACAGAATGTTAAAATGCGGCCGCGATTAGACGTGGCTATATAAATACAAATGGTTTAGCATTTGATTGTATTGTAATGCACCTTTGTAAACCCCAAGGAATGCAAATTTTAGCCACACACACACACAAAAAACAGCATCACTCGATTTCCATGTCACCTCGTGTATGGTTTTTTTCAGCGCAAACGCAGCTTACTCTTCACGGACACATTGTGTTTCGCGTTGAAGAGGCTCCCGTCGTTCTGACGGAGTGCTCGTGCCAATAACGGAACTTCCAAATGACGCACAGTGTTCGCTCCACCTCGTAAGAGACGGGACGATTCAGAGGCAGCGAAGAGCCACAGACAACCGGGAAAGGTCGCTGTCACGAGGGGAGCCAGAACTAACAATTACCCAAGCTCTGCGGTTCCCTGCATATTAAGATGATCTTAGCCCCTCGATTGGCGTTCTTACGTGTTGGAGGTAAGCCGAGCTGATGGAGAAAGCACGCTCAATGCGAGTGGGCCAACACTTTTAACTCACGGAGATGGAACAGGTGGAGTCCACATATTTGCCGTGTGCGTGTATGAATATATGAACGTTGAACTTATTTCGCGCAGTACATAGCCAACTGTGCTAATCGGAGGTGCGGGGGGGGGGGGGGGTGCCCGACACACTACACACACACAAAAATACATTCTCAAGAAATTAGTTGTCTCCTGGCGAGCCAGGTCAAGGCACCTCCTCTACGCCCACGGGCAGAGAGTTTCACATGTTGGGTCATCCACCAGCCCTCGCTGCCTCCACAGTGCTGGATTTCAGGCCGCGTGCGTACCCCCCACAACCGTGCAACTAATCTAGCGGCAATTTGCTTAACACGGCCGACACTGCCGATGAGACCCAGCAGGTCAAAGCCGGTCAATAGGTCGCTTGCTTAATTGTACGCACGCAGCTCGATGATATTGGTGTGGGACGCCAGTGATAGGCTCACGGATTCATATCAGCGCGTACAATGTGGAGCTACCGAAAATGGCTATGCAAATATTTGGTCCACGTTATTGTGCATGCTGGTCAAATGTTTAATTTATTCCTTTGGCACTAAGACTCACACTATGCATCGCCCGTGCGTGCACTCAGAGGCAACGTGAGCACAGGTCTCAAGTCGCGACATCTTGAGCCTACAACACGATGCCTCCCAATAAACATTTACACTTGAATTTACCAGCAGATGAATACACATTATTTGCCGTATTCACCGGATTATAAAACACTCCGGAAAGTAAGACGCACCCCAGAAATGATTGTGCCCGCTTGTCAATTAAGTCATACAAATATGGCCTCTGGCACTCACACAGCAACTGGATTATAAGACGCAACACCACCTTTTGCTATGATTTACGAGGGGGGTCGGGGGGGGGGATGCGTCTGATAATCCGAACAAAAGAGTGATATCGACAACGAATTGTTGTAATTCAGCAATGCGTGATTAGAATAGATGCTCGAGATCATACACATTTAACGCGCTCTCAGAGCGCGAGCTGACTGTAACGCTTGTGATACAGGATGCGTGTGTCCATTCATTTTGCCGTGAAGGGTGGGGGCGGTGCGAAGAGGTTAATGATGGGACGCGGCGCGCTGGAACGGCGGGCCAAAATTGGCGACGTGTGGATATCGCGCTGTGGAAAAGACACGAGAGCTCTCGACGTTGCATCGGCATATTTGGGCGACGGATAGAGAGACAGACAGTCGGGCAGACAGACACGCGGGAAGACAGGGAAACGGGGGGCGGGGGGGTCAGATAGACCAAACCGACAGGCACATATTCAGACAGAGAGACAGACGCTTGAATATGCAGACGGTCGCACAGATATATGATAGACCGAGAGACAGACAGGACGGGCAGTCAACTTAGACACGGATCGGTGGTGAATCGGACAGACTGTAATGCAAAGACACAGCTGGATAGGGAGTCATAGAGAAAGGCAGTCAGGCGGAGAGAGACACTCATATATTCAAATAGACACACAGACGAATGGACAAACAGTGAAATAGACGAACACACTCAGGCAGTCAAAGAGATAGACAGTCAACTGGATAGCTAGCCAAGCAGTGATACAGAAAGACGTGCATTCAAATACACATGCTGCGAAGACAATTATTGAGACACACACAACAAGCAGACAGTCTGAGAGACAGACAATCAAACTGAGAGACTGAAAACCAGACAGTGATTCAGATAGACAGAAAAAAAACGGTCACATATACATATAAGACACGTCGATGAATCAGTCAAACGGATAGTCGGACAGACACGATGGTCTATCAGACAGCACACTAAATCAGACAGACAAGCCACCGAATCGGTCAGACTGTCCGACGAGACAATACATCAGACGCAGGCAAGACAATCGATCAGACGGACAAGAGGCTCCGCCTAGCCGCAAGGACAGCTTCTGTCTTGTACACGCCGGCGCAGGCGCGTGCAGCGAGGTGCTAATGTGCAGTGTGAGTGCAGCAGCAGCAGCAGCAGCGGGCGAAGTGCGTGAAGGTCATTGTGCATTTGGGACGCGGCAGCGCCACGGTTGCTTCCATCACAGCCAACCGCGGCGGCTACTGTCTGCGCCGAAATCGCTTAGACGCGCGGGTGCCACTGCGCGGCTCCCATCAGCGGACGGTGGGAGCGGGGAGGGTGGTGCGACGAGGGATGGCTCCCTGCCGATTTATAGGCGACTCAGCGCTCATTCTTTTCGCGGAGACGAAGAGCGATTGAGCGACGCAGGCGATGTTAGCCACCAGGCTGCATCGGTTCTGCGTATAGCACCCCCCCCCAGTCCCCGTCGATCGTAATTGTTTCCTACCCCCCACCCTATACCTGAGCATCAAAGGAAACTGAGCCACTACACATACTCAGGGTCGTGGATATTCGTGCGAGAGCGCGTCTGTGGCGGTGAGGATGGGAGTGGGGGAAGAGGCGATTACCTGTGAGGTGTGCGGGCAGTGGGTGTGAGTAGACGGACCACGAATCACGAATCTTACGCGCGTACGCGTGATCGTGCAGACGCGCACGTGCACACGAACGCACGCGGACACGTGGACCCGTTGCATACACGTATACAGACACACGCGCGGTCACACATACATACGCACGCAAAATACGCACGCTGGATCATCCATCCATACGCGCTCATGTGTACAGACAGACAGACACGCGCACATACATGCAGACACACACGCGTGCACACGTGTACACGTAGATTCACGTAGCGAGCAACAATCACACAGGCAAGGGAGCATAATGCACACACTGGAACACATACATGCATACATACAGACACGTGTACATGCATACAGATATACGCACGCATTTATGTACAACCACATACGTGCAGACACCGAGAGTGAGAGAGAGACATGGTCGCACACGGACAAACACACACGCACTTACACACCTACATACATACAGACATACGCACACGCGCAAACATACACAAACGCGCGCGCACGTACGTACCGACGCGCGCGTGCACACACGTAAAGACACATGCGCATGTTCACACATTGATACGCATACACATACACACAGAGACACCCGCATACACAGACAGACACGCACGTGCATATACAGGCAGACACATGCGTGCGGATACACATGTACTCACACGGACATACGCGCGCACACACACACACAAGCACCCACCTACACACAACTCATGAGCGCACACAAGAAGAAGCAAACACGCAAACGCATTAACCAGATGCACGCTCAGAATTACATACGCACACACGCACGTGCACTTGCACAGCGATCAGCAACAAACAGCCAGTGAGCGTAATGCACACACGCACATACATGTAGACTCACTGTAAATTGCGCATAAGCACGCACGTACGCATACACACGCACACACACACACTTAAATAAGGAGCGGCAGCAGACACGCTCACAAACACAGGCATTCAGACACAGAGACAAGGACGTGAACACACGCGTACACACACAGCCAGCCGCATTAACCACACGGCAAATGGGGCACACCGCAGACACATGCGTACATACAAAGCTCCCCCGCATAGCCTTAAGAGATTGTTGTGGCAAGTTAATTTATCGAGAACCCGACCACCTTTGTCTCCCCCGGGGCGATGTTTACACACCGAACCAGGTACTCATTTGAGGCTGAGCCGACCTAGGGGATGCCCAGGACCGCTTAAGATAATCGTCACTGGTGTTGGCCGTGAGCGGGAATTGAACTATGGTTGCCGGCTTCGTAGCGCAGCACGCTAATCGCTACACTACCGCTCCCTACAAACACACTCATACACGCGTGCGCACACAGACACGTACGCAAGCGTCCTGACGTTTGAACACAGACACCAGCAGAACACACATGTGCTCGATAACGATACCAAGCTCCACGCACGCCAATGTACACACAGACGCAAGTAGGAGCACAAACACACGCACGCACATACACACACACACACGCGTGACCGAAATTCATCGACAGCAGCTTTGATGTCCCCAGCTGCACGTGAAGTTCACGAGCCCGACGCGTTGTCACGACGGACGAGACGCAATATCCGTCACCGATGCAATTACTATTAAAGCGCGGACCCACCACCCCCCCAGTGGTCGAGAGTTCTAACAAGAATATCAGCGATCACCGATGCTTCTGGGGTGATGGTTGTGGTGCTGTCACAACACTCACGCGCACGGACGCCGCGCACTCACCGTCAGCCTCCGCGGCTCCCAGTAGCGCCGCGAGGAGGAGGTGCAGAAGGGCGCAGGCATTTCGCCCAAGACGACGCATGATGGCTCTTCCCTTCGGGCGAACGCCAGCCGGCCGCCTTCCCACGCCTGCTCTCCCACCGGCTCAATCCTTCACCTCCTCGCCGGCTCAAATCCTGCAGCTACAAGCGGCTCGAATTCTCCAGCTGCCTACCGGATCAAATGAATCACCTTCCGGTCGTCTCAATCCCTCCGATTCAGATCTTCCAGTCCTTGGCCCGGCTCAGTCATTTACCTTCTCAGCGACTCTAATGCCCCCAGCTCTCTCGGTCGCAAACTCAAAAAAAATCCAGCGCTGCTCGGGAAGTCTATACTCCTCCCCCCCCACCACCGCCACGCACACCTCCCTTACCTCACCCGACAAGCTGCCTCGCTTGCCCTTTGCGTGCACGCACAGCCTTGCCAATAGCTCGTATATAGATATATTTACTCGCACTCAAGCAGAGAGAGAGAGATACACGCTGACATTGGTGCGTCTCCGTTTCGCTGCGTGTGCGCTTAGCTCTGCGCCGTGCCGGGCTCTCGCTGGATGGCAAGTGACGAGAAGGGGGAGAGATTCCGAGGGCGGCGAGAGGAGGAGGCGAGAGGCAGGGAGAGCGGGAACAGAGAGAGAGAGAGAATCGAGCAGCGGAGCGAACGGAGAGAGTGAGTTGCAACGGGACTCAAGCGCCGGACGGAGCTTGCGTCCCTGGTGTCTGCTTGGAGCCACGCGGGGACTACTTCGCTATTCACCACCTCTTTCTTTTGCTCTTCTTTATCCTTCTACCATCCGCCCCCACCGCAGCGCGTTGCCTTTAATAAAAAAAAAATGAATCGATGAGAAGTCTCACAAAATCATTATGTCCAGCCGAGAGAAGACTGATTGATGTCTCCAACTCATCACAAAGCCTCCTTGCGTCTCGTTTCTTTTTTCCCGCTTGGTTCTTCTTTAAAATCCCCCCCAAAAAGCCTTTTTGTCGGAATTGCCAAGGACGCAACAACAACAACAACGTCAGCAACAAATTACACACGTATCGAATCGGGCCAAACGTCAAGAGAGAATCAGATGTTATTGAATTTCTTGGAGTGCTTAAAAGGTGCCCGCGATGGCGATAGCTGCCGGTGCGAACCGGGTGAACGCGAACGAGTGGAGTCGAGTCTTCCCGCAGCTCTCCGTCACATCATCCTTGCCACGTGCGCGCAGCCAGAGTCTTGGAGTGTTCATCACAGCTCCTCGCGTCAAAGCAAATGCAGTCTCATTTTCTTCCTACTGTCCCTTCTCCTTCCACGTGTCCCCCCCTCTCTCTCTCTCTCCTTGCTTTCTCTCTCGGGCTCCCGTGATTGTATTTTTTTTAAAGACAATCCAAGAGCGTATGAAGTTTTTTTTGTTTTTCTCTCGCAAATATGTATGATAAGTCCCGTGTCTTTTACGATGTTCGCAAATTAGTCTTGTATATGAAAGCGCGCAGCGTTAACTACTTTACGTGCTCTCCACAAAACTCCACCACGCGCATGCTGCCTTCCCTGTAATCCCACGGCTTTCTACACTCGCGGTTTATCGATAAGCTCGAGGCAATGACAAATGCTTCGCGATGATTGAGTGTATGGCTAGCCAGGGAAGCTGAGTAAGAGAGGAGAGAAACTGGGATGCCGATGCTCCTGCCGATGATGACGTTGGTGACTCTTCTACACTGAACTGCGCCTGATCTCCTCAGCCAGCGACGGGAGCAGTCGGACGCGCGCGAGAAGACATCCTTTTAATTGCGAGAGCTCTGCGGGAAACGAGCGACTCGCGTGTAGCTCCCCTCCTCTCTTCTCGCACGCTCCTCGCCACACACACTCAGACTCGCTCTCTCTCTCCCTCGCTCTCTCTCCACCCCACCACAACTCACAGAGCACACCCACCGACGACGCCCCCCCCACCACCACCACCACCAAAAGCCCTTCCGAGAAAATCCGCGAAAATTGTTCGCGAGGCGCCACCCACCCCGACCCACGCCCCCCACCCACCACCTCCATCCGCCCCCCCCCCCCCGCGACGTGCAACAACCCACGCCGAGGACGCTGCGATTGGCCGAACTCTTCAGCTCAACCACGCCCCGAGAAGACCGGCAGTGATTTCTTTTTTTTTATCAAACGTTGGAATGTCGTTGGCCCCGCCTCTGCTCACATCCCGTTGGCCGTGCGTCTTGCTGGCTGGCGGCTGTGCCTCCTCCGTCGTGGGTATTGGCAGGCTGGCTGCGACTGCTGCTTGGGAGTGGGGGGGGTGCTGCTGCTGCTGATGATGATCATTCTGCTGCCTCGTGCGAGGTCGCCGCCTGCCGAGAGCGGATGTAATTGAAAAGAGTTTCGCGTGCGTCAGTGAATGCCCAAGACGCGCGCGGCGAGGGCACGCGAGCCCAAAGCGCGCACCGCTCCACCCACCGCTCCTTGTGTAGAACTTTGACAGACTTAGCTGGTGCCGTGGGTGTGTATCGAGCACCTATTGAAGTGGGAAGGCCGCATGCAGAGACGGGGTGTTGTGGCCGGGTAAACGCTGCGGGGCGGTTGCCTTCGTCTACCACCAATCTTGAAGTTTTACACACCCCCACCATGCGCCTATTTTAAGTTGCGTTCATGCAGAGGGTTGCACACGAAGGAAACTTTTACCCGTGCAGCCGACACTGCACTGTTGAGGGCCAGTGATGTGAGCGAGATTCGATGGAGGTCGGTACGGCTAGCATGCCGTCAGGTGTGGCGATAGTTTGCCCAGATACTCATTTAAGGGGCCGTGCGTAAATGACATCACACGATTTTGGACAATTTTTGACCCCCCCCTCCCCCCGTCGTCACACGGCGTCACAAAAAGTCAGACCCCCCCCCCCTCAAATATGACGTCACAAAGCTCTGCCCCCCAAAAAAAAAATAAACATGCTTCAAATCGCTTTAAACTATTGTCATTGTAGTGCGTATTTAATGTGGCGCTGCATTCTGATGTTGTAGGAGAAAACATTTTTTTAAAAAGTCTATTTAATTATGTAGAACGTGTTGTCTATCTTTATTTAAAGTTGCGCATTTTGATGTGACGTCACATTTCTCAAACCTCCCCCCCCTCGTCACACATCGTCACAAATGTCTGACCCCACCCCCCCAGGTGCGTGACGTCATTAATGGACGGCCCCAAAGGCTGCGTCGACCTAAGTGGATGCTCAAGCACACGTTCTCATGTCACTCGTCACTGGTGTTTTAGCCACGGTTTTTGAACCGAATGCTGGCCGCCGGGTTCTTAGTAACGCAGGTCTCCAACCACTGCACCATCACTCCTCCCCCCCATCCGTGTAGCCTTAACAGGCTGTTGGGACAAGTGTTGGTAGCGAGCATCTGTGAAGGCCAGTGCACCTCACGAAGTGCTGAGTGACCAGCATCACGGCCGGCCACCTTTGTCTCCACAGCGACGTGCGGTTACACATCGGACCACGTGCTCATTTTTGGGCTGAGTAGAACTAGGAGAGGCCCAGTTATCGGTCCAGTAAACCGGGTCACCGGTGTTGGCCGTGAGCGGGCATCACCCAGGTGTGCGCGTGCGTGCGGTGGTCTAGCGGTTCAGTGTGGGGAGCGGTGGTGTAGCGGTTAGTGTGGTGTTGGCCACCCACCACCTCGTGTTCCGTGGCGGCCTTCATAAGTGATCGCTAACAGCACTTGCCCCAACGGTCCGTTAAGGCTATACGGGGGTGGGGGGGCGGGGGTGTCTTTGTCTTTGTAGCGGTTAGCGCAGCACTGCGCCACGGACCGGGCCACGCGAGTTCGACTCCCACGTGGACGCTGCTAAATGCGGACATGGCACGGGGCGCACGCGCGCGCATGCAACACAAAAAAATAGCGTGCGAGGAGAGGTCAAGCAATTTGGAGTCACGAGACACGAAATAATTATTCGCGTCGACCCGACTGGTAGCCTTATTCCGAATTCCTTTCATTTCTGCTCCGATCGCATAATAATGAAATAATAATAATAATAGTAATGCAATGCATGTCTGGATGTCACGCGTTCGCACGAATGTACGGAGAGGTGTGTGTAGAGCGGTGTTGTGTCGGCAGCATGCCTCCCCCCCTCGTCACCTCTCGGCACACCTCGATTGAACACGGGCAACGGCAGCAACAGCCAGGATCGCTCTACTGCTGGATGAAGACCTCCCCAAGCCGTCGCCGTCTCTCCTCGTCCTGCAATGTGCTCGTCACACCTGACGCCCGCACTTTGCCCCGTCACCTCGGCCGGATGCGTTCCATTCCTTGGCTGCCGCTGCGTAAGCATTCCCTACCCTCGGCCGGCATTCCCTCTCGCACCATGTCCTGCCCAAGCATCGCTGACGTCTCTTACCAGTATGACTGAAGTCCCGGTGTCTTCTTTAACGCGAGTATTTTTCTCTAATCAAAGCGTCCACCCCCCCCCCCCCCCCACCATGCGTTTTAATTCCAAGCGTGTTCTACTACACGCCTCGCCGATGTATATTTATCTCCAGCGGACCTGCGCTGCTGTGCACTGCTGTCTTCTCGCTATGGGGGGGAGGGGGTTGGGGTGGATTGTGCACTCGTCAAATTGAGCCTCTTGCTTTAATTGCGGGCGAGTAACCACGGCGCGAGAATTCGGCGAGAGCGAATAAACCTGCGTGGGTGGGTGGGTGGGCCTTGCCGCCCGCATCCAATAACCCATCCTGGGCCTCTCAATCACCCCCCCTCCCTCCCTTCCCCCGCGAGGTTGACTCAGCCTCAAATGAGTACTGTAGAGAGAAAAGTGACTCGGACGTGTTGGTGCCAATGGTCACCCACCCCCGTCACAGGTGCTCCGTCCCGGCCTTCTATAGGTGCTCGCTCACAGCACCTGCCCCGCAACATTACGTTGAAAAGGCTATAAAAGGGGGGTCGCTTTGTCCTTGGAAGTTCGTGCGCTCTGGTGTGTATGTAGCCAGACAAGGCGACCAGGAGTGGTGCTGGTCACAATCTGCCTCTTAATATGCGCTCGCTGACAGCACTTGTCCCAACAGTCTCTAAAAGACCATGCTAGGATCTTCGTCCTATATAAATATATTTATCTTATGACCTCGTTTCTTTAAAATAGCCGCCACTCACATCAAATGAGCGTTTTGCTGCGGGTTTAAAGAGCGCGGAGTTAAGTCAAGGGCGCTTGAAATAGCGCGCTTCGCTCTCCGCTCCCGACGCGATGGATATATTTACGCACGCAATTACGGGCAACCTACATTACGCATATATCTCTGTGTGTGTGTGTCTGTCTGCGGGAGGCTCGCGATAGCTCTATATGGCTGAGCCCGCTGTCCAAAGTGGAGCTTGCCTTGACACCTGCTTAGGTGACGAGTGACATGACCGGTCCAATGACAGCAAAAAAAAAGAGCCACATTAATACGTGGTAAAACAGGTTGCAGCCACTGCAATTGCTTGCTCACGCCGCTGCTAGTGGAAGAACTTCCGATTAAAGGGAACTCTGGCGGTCTCTCTCACTCTGCACGCGACATTTGGCCCATTCTACCACCACGCTGGCCCGACGTATTGGAAGCAGACAGCCGCGCTGTGTCGACACCGCACGCTCCTCACGTATACCCGCTGGGTGTTCAGAAGCCGGATACTCGTTTCATTGTTTCCATTGCCGCGTTGGTAGATCGAAGCGGTGACCCGTCGAGAGCAATGTCCGCGCAGACGAATGCAAAACCACCCCTACACAGGCGCGGACCTTAAATAACCCCACGCATTTATTTGCATAATGACAGCAACGGTAACCATAAGATGGCATCGTAACAAATGCATTTAAAAAAATCTATCTGTGCGGAGCTTTGAGCATTATATCCTCGTTACGCGTGCTGGGATTTTGTCCGTGACTATCCGGCCTCATCCCAACACGGAAAGCGAAAACACTCATTGCATGGCCATGACATGGCCAAAACATCCGTACGTAGCGGGGCGCTCTGCGCAAAGGAGTATTTCGAGTCAGCGATACTTTCCTGGACAAATAAAAGCATACATCAATAGCAACACAAATCGCGATGAATTGCCATCATAACAATCAAACAAATGATTTGGTAATACAAAATAAATGTTTAATTTTATCAGGTAAGGCCCACTGAGTTATCTATATATTGTTCTCCGAAGTGACGTGGCCACAAATTATAACTCAACGGAGTGGCTAATCGTGTATAATTTTATAGTAGCAGCCAAATAGTCTAAACGTGTGTTTCTACATGTGGAGAGAAAATCCGGAGGATCCGGAGAAATAATACGCGCAACAATGGGGAGCGAGAACACGCAAACTCCAAATATACAGCAGGCGTCAGGGTCGGGATCGAACCCACGACCTCCTGTATACTCTGCGAGGTAGTTAACAGCTGTACACAGCAGCTCTCCAACAACACTCGTCAAGAACAACGGTGTGTGGCCTTAAAAATGTAATGAAAAAAACATATAACAGTCGATGTTTCGAGAATAGCACATTTGTGTGCTATGAAAAAAGGGCCATTATTTCAACGTCGGAATTTTCTTGCCTTTTAAGGCCACAGTGTCATTGATGAATGAGTTGAGTATTATATTTATGTATATATATATTATTACGATCAGCGTCATGTCTTCCCCTCGGCTCATAGAGATATTGCTTCTGGATCCCTCGCAGGGAATTGGTGAAATAAAATATTAGCAGAACTCGCTTTTGCCTCCCCACACACAAATAATAATACAATTATCTGTTTTAGTCCATTTAAGGTTCTCGGCTTTACTGACCAAAATCACCACCCAGCAGAAACACTAGACCGGTTTCGACATTCTGGGTCTCATCAGCAGAGTCAAGCGTTGTTAAAAAATGCAAGTAGATCACCATACGTCTGTTGGCAAGAGCACTCTGAGCACACATTCATT